GAATCATATAATTAAAGAATATATTTACCTTGAGTTTTAATAACATCGGTTCGCCATTGCCATCCAAAGGACGATCTAATTGGAAAGGTTTGTAACCTGGTTAACAAGGGACAGCAGCAGCCACAACAACCGCAAATTCCTCCTTACTTATTTTGAATAATAACTGACATTTTTGTTAGCAGTATTATGGTAAGTAACATACATGTGTAGAGTAAGTAGTGTGTTATGAATGATTTATTTCAAAAAGGTTTAATAAACTTATGACGCAAACAAACCTTTTATGCTCTCAAAACCCTGCCAGAAATCGCCAACTTTAAACCGTTCCACCACCACGCCATTTCTACAGTTTACCACATCGGATATTTCATCGCCTGAAGAGGAAACAATAATACATGTTCATTTTTCAATCTTGCATAAAAACAAAAAAAACATTGGGGAAGTAGCTACCCATAGCCATGACATCTTATTCTACTGCTAACTTTTATTCTTTGCACAAAAAAAGCCGAACTTTTTCAGTGCTATCTTTCTTAACATTTAACATTCACATTCAAGTAGTTTTATTGCTGTGGCATTCAAGAGAAAACTTACCAAACTCTTCGCCAAATGATTTTGGAGTCCAGATGTCCAGATTCAGATATTTGTCCACTTGGCTGACCAGAACAGGCTGAAAACAAAAACAAAACAATCGTGAAACGTTCGGAAGAGTTTTGGATTCTACAGTATTACCCAAAAGCGGACGGCTCCGCTGCTCATCGACTTTGTTTTTGTGTTCGGGTCTCTGTTGTTCAAAGAGTGGATAACGGGAAAAGTTGATATCTAATGGATAACCTGTTAACAACCACTCTCTCCAGTGAATACAGTAACCTGTGAGTAACGTAACCTTTCTTTTGAAAAAGCAGCAAAGCTGGAGACCGAGTGTAACTTTAAAAATATCAGTTACAGTTTAAATCACTTAGTTATGTGACACTGGGCTGTTAGACGTTAGACAAGCACCCTTATCTACATCCCTATACCCTACCCATCCAAAATACACAGGCTCACACGCGCGAAAATGAATGTCTGGATGTTTGGTGTTGAAAACCACTTGGAAAACTTCCACGACTCAATAACGGGCAGCTCTACCAATATAGACTGAGACAAATACCTCGCCCTTTTTCCATCGAGACTCGAACGCTTTTATGTTTCCAGGCGCCCTAGGATCGTGTAGTCTCAGCAAGCGGCCATCACACAGCCATGAATGTGGTACACCCGCGCAAGCATCGGCATCCAACGAATCAGGGGTGGATGGCACTGTATGCTGTCGCACCTCAACCGAGCTCTCAGCACTGGTCGGTTCACTGGGTGTGGCAACTGGGACAGAAACTGATAACATGAACATGGTTAGCATGGAAGACGCGAATGAAAGGGCAGCAAAACGTGCACTAATCGAGTTCTAGATCTGTACTATAAGATAGGAAGCCAGTCTTTCTGTCCAAGTGTGACGCGCGAGCGCCTTAAGTTGACGAGACAAAGCGAAGACCCGTATCTTTCGGTACGGACCTAAACCACGACGTTAATAATATGTGTAACAAATCTCTCACTCTCGGGAAAGAACAGTATTTTGAGGTAACACCTGAGAGATGGCGAAGAAGACAAACGGTTCCAAATCCAACCCACTTAGCTTAATATAACTATTACCATTTCTAATCTCCTTGGTTCCTTGCTTGCTCTGTGGCGCTGGCTTTGGTTTTTCTACTTCCTTTTTGCTCTCAGTGTTCAAACTGATGCTGTTAAAATACTCTCCATTTCTCTCACAAGCGAGCACAAGCAGGTCAAGACCACAGAGACCACCCCCGCCCAAGGAAAAATTGAACATTCCAGTCGCAGGTTTAACGTCTTTGACGGGCGAGTCGCAAGGGGAGGCCTCCGCTGATGAGTTGTAATCCATAAGAAGACTCAAACCCGACGAGACCTTCTTATCTCTCTGCGGCTTGGCTTCAACTAAACCGAATCCGGCCTTTTTGGTGAAGTGGTTCCGTCGTTTTTCCTCGGTTAGCCACTCTTGTTCGTGATCCGCCGGTGATTCTACGCCTAATTTTTCATCGCAGATCAGGTTCACATCGTCATCAAAGCTAGATTCGCTGTCCGCTGCACCACCAGTTTGGTTTGAAGAAGCAATAGACGAGGTTTCCGTTGTCACAGTGGAATTACTTGCTTCTTCCCCACTAGCAGTGACGCCATTGCTTCCATCCTCATTGGGAAGTTCAGTTATTTTAGCACCAGATTCATTGTTGTCCTCATCGCCACCAACTGACTTACAAGGACATGTTTTGCCAATCCTCCAGACGTCTCTTGCTCTATGCAGTTCGTCGCCAAGGTCAGACAAAACTGTGGAAGGTTAAAAAATGGCAAGTGTAATTTTTATTCAACGAGGCAGCTAAATCAAGAATTAAATCAGTAAAGCTCTAATCTAACGATACGTTAGGATACTTTTGATCCATGTATTCCTGCAGGCCACGTCTCTTTGGTCTAATAAAAGTCTCAAGCTTATTAGTTTACGAGCGACCAACATTTTATTATGCGTCCGTGTAGACTGTTTCAATTAGAATATTTTCCACCACACGGCATTAAAAGAGCGATAAGAGTTAACAATACTTCATATTTATTTTTGGCTTGCAGTAGGCTACGAGCATACAAGGTCAATAACCTAGATATTTACCTGTCTTAGGTATAATCTGAGCCACTGACAAGTACTTTGGTTGATGACAAATTCCCGGACAGCACATAACCCATTTGAACTCGAACACTCGCTTTCCAACAAGGCCTGTAGACAAGAAAGAAAAACGTGGCTAAAGGAATGACAGGGGTTAATAGCTCTTACATACACCTTACTGGGTCTACACAGAAGGAATCTATAGAATTCTTGTTTGGCACGTGGAAGTTAGTTTTGCTACGCCCATAAAGACGGGGATGCAGTGGCACAGCAAGCCCTTCCCCTGCCCCTTAACAAAAAACAGACGTTGTTGTTTATGGTGGTCAGTGCGCTTATAGCTACACCTTGCTGGTTCACAGGCATGCCCAATTTAACTGAAATAAACAAATACTATGATATCTACTAAACATAGTAGGCTTAAAAATCTCAACTTGCGGGAGGCAGATCAGTTGGCTATTTACAAGCATGACCTAGGAGTTGAACTAGGGTCTACCAAGAAACAACTCCAGCTTAGTGGTCAGGGCGGGACTTGAACTCGCAAACTCCGGATTTCAAGTGCTGGCGCCCTAACAACTCGGCCACCCTGCATCGATGTGAACAGAGCTGATCACTCGTAACCGACGCACATTAAAGTAAGCCTTACCAGACTGTCGCTCTCTCTCCTGGACGCGCAAGTTGTAACAATCCAGGCACACGCCAAAACCACACCTGTGACACACCCAGTGCATGTTGAAGATGGTGGTCGCACACACATCGCACATCTCTCTTACACCTTGAACTGCTCGTTTATAAGCGACGGACACTGAGAAAAAAAACAAAACAAANATCTTGAAAAGTTTAGCCTAAATTTTTCAAGTTCGTCATTTACAATCCGAGTCAATCTTCTCCATTCTTAACCATCCTTGTTCCTTTATGGTTTCCTAATATCCTGTAAGTGTCTTAAACTCATTTACATAATTTTTCCTGTAAACTTCAAATGCTACCTTCTTTCCAATAGAAAAAAAAATCCAACGAAGTGAAAACAGTTTAGTATAAAAAGAGGAGACTAGAGGTATTTCTTCGTTTATAAAACGTATGAAAAGGATTGGCTTACCTCGCTTACCATCTGTTGCAGCAAACGCAAATGCTTTCTTTTCTTCTTGCATCACTGAGCAAAACTGATCCCCAACATTACTCAAGATGTAAAGAGAGGTCTTCTTGTCAAGCCTTTCAACTATTACAAAAATAAAACAACTTTCAAGATCAGCCTCAGTCCATAAAAAATTATGAAGTGAAGACTAATAAAAACGTATAAAATAAAAAAAAAAAATGTTATTTCGGTTTTCCTGTGTCATCCTCGTTCGCCTAAGTCTTCTTTAAAAAAGTTTATTTCTCCTCGCAAGTTTCCTTCTTTTTTCTTTAAGTAATTGGCTCCCGTTTGGTAGGGTTGAAGTAACTGAAAAATCTTGAAGCAACTGAAAAATCTAGTAAATCAAAACTAAGATTCTCAAGTGTTACCTTATGGAATTCGAATTCTTCATGACATGTGGTCGGTCTTAAAGTTTGTTACGTATAATTTTACCATAAAGTGAATGCAACTGAAAGCTTTACTAACCTTTGTCATGCGCCACCCAAGGAAAGAAGTCTTCAGCGGCTGCATATTCAGGTAACTGGAATCCAGCAGTTAAGATGGTACCGTTTTTCTTTTTCTTTAACCTTCGTCCAAGAGATGAGAAATTAATTAGACTGTATTAGAACTTATCTTCGCTGCACCATAAGACCAACTGGGATTGTACATGTACCTCTTACCAACCGAGCGCGAGAGCCGTACTGGGGAATATTGGCCCGAGGTCGTGGCAGTATGGATCGATCGGGTTCTGTACAAAAACCACCGAGGGTCAATATTCCCTAGGACGGCTCGAACAAGCTAGGTAAGTTTACTAAGTCGCGCTTTAACACGAACTACTGACGCACCTCCTGAACGAATTAAATCTGCAACATTCTAACCCTGTCTTCTGGCCAACAACATCCCGGCAATCCCTACACTTTGGTAAGCCAGGTAAGCTGGCACAAACACGGTCCTGGAGAACAGAGAAAGAAAAAGACAAGTTACAAGTGACTTTCACAAGAGCTCTTCTCATAACATTCTTGGAAGCACAAAATGAACACTTGTCGCTGTGCTCAAAACGTACCTGCAAAAAGAACTGCTCTGAATTTGGCGAGACTGCATCGCCTGCAAGCAAAGAGAGAACAACATATTTAATCTACTTCAATGCTATTCTCTTCTTTATTGAACAATGCTACATCAACAAGACCAGCCAAGTAACTTGAAGCAACCAGTTTGTCCCAGTCTAACACAAAGATTGTCGTATCCAGATTGGCCCCTTTTACCTGGTTTTACGGTTACTAGACAAATAGACCCACGTCCCTACCATTTCATTATGCAAGGAGTGGACTTAAACAGTAACCTATTTTGAAAAATTACCATCACTTTCACTGTGGTTCGTTTCTTTTTTCTTTGGCCTCCCTCGGCCACGACCTGTGGTAGACTCCTTTTTCGCTGTCTTCTTCGCTGACTTCTCGTCAGTTTTGATTTCACTACTTGTTGTCTCATCTGCCAAAACAAAAGATAAGAAGCATTGTTATTATCAAACTTCTACGACAACTCTGTCAATGTGTTCTAACCCCTTGGTTTACAAAACTTTACAGAACCTACTCTCTAAAATTAATATGTACAGCCTTTTTTAAATTTTCAACACTGCAAGTGCAATACGTTTTGATACAAAGACGCAGCATTTGTTGCCCAACGAAGGAATNNNNTATAAGGGTATAAGGGGTGTAAGGGTATAAGGGGTATAAATGTATAAGGGTATAAGGGGTATAAGGGGTTTAAGGGGTATAAGGGTATAAGGGTATAAGGAGTTTAAGGGTATAAGGGGTGTAAGGGTATAAGGGGTATAAATGTATAAGGGTATAAGGGGTTTAAGGGGTATAAGGGTATAAGGGTATAGCCACACATAAGGGTCGGGTCGGTAGCCTTTGTAAGGTCTCGCATGAATGGCTTGAAACTCTTTTGAGAGGACAATAGAACAAAACAACAGAAACAAAGCCCCCATCCAGCTGCTAACATTAAACAAGCAACAGAATAGGCCTTATGCATGATTACATCGTGAGCTCAAAATTCACCACCAAGCCTCATTTGCGATGAATTTTCTCAAACCTCCAAGATTCCTTCGTGTTGTTTTCACGGGGGTGGTCTTTTCATCTTTGCTGCCTAGGAAATTTGTCCACAAAAAAAATTGCAATTTGCATTTTAAAAGCGAGGCTCGGTGGTGAAATTTGTTCGTCTGCTGTCATCATGCATAAGGGTTATTACGTTCTTACAAGAGAGCCCTGCTACACTTCTGACACATAACAGGCTCACCTTCTGTCTTAGTTTCAGCCGCAGCCAAACTTAGCTTTTCTTGGTCTTCTGCAAGTTGGTAACATAAAATGCTCATGTTAACAAAATTCGCCACTAGCATCATTACTACAGGTAATATATCTATAAATTTTCTTCTCATTGGTAAAACGACTTAGCTGAAAAGCATTGCAGCAATTAACTGGACAATTACGGTTACCTTCGCCCTTGTAGATGACAGGAATTTCTTCATCCAGCACGGAGTCCACCACTGTTTCAAGACTATCCGTTGTTTCTGGTTCTTTGTTTGCCACAGTTGGTAAGCCTTCAGAGGCCTTTGCCCTTTTCTTCTCCCTTCTCTTTTCCTCCTTTGCCTTCAGTTCCTTTTTCTTACTCGTTATCTCTCTGATCCTCTCTTTGCTCCTGCTACTCAGTCTCGGAGCGTTCGCTTCACCAGCCTCAAACAGATTACCAGGCATATCTTTCATGGTCGGACTGTGGTTAATCGATACTTCTTTAACTACTTGATCAGCCACGAAACTCACAGAATCCACAGGACTGTCCCCCTCTGTTCTTGTATTGACAATATTTTTCAGTTCTAGCCTTGTAAACGGCTTTTGTTGAATTGTGTCAGCACTTCCGTTGTTAGATTTGTTTTCTTCGCATTTTACCTTCTTCGACTGCACCTTGCCTTCGTCAGTTGACTTCTTTCTGGAAGCTTTGCCCCTTTCCGCCGGTACCACAGAGTTTTGTGGCAGCCGATGTATAGTTTGTTCCTCAAGTTGTGAATTTGACAACTTTTTGTTCAATCTCTTGGTCAGCTCTATTTTACCGTTTTCGTCAATACCATTTTTTACGTGGTCAACCTCAGAGGATTTCTTGTTGTCCGTCTTTAAAACTTTACTGACAGTAGAAGCATCTCCCTCAGAACTCTCCTTAGAGACAGATTTCCTTTTATTTGCAGTGGATCTTTTCGAGTATGTTTTCAGCCCTTCGCCAGTAAAAATCTCTCCATTGTGTTCAGCAGTATTCGAAGACAAAAGGGAGAAACAGTTTGTTGAGATCACTGGCCTAACTCCTGAACTCAATGATGGTTTCTGCTGCAAACCAATGGGAGTAGCGACCTCCATGGTCTTGGAAGCCGCACTCTCTGAGTCACTTTTTTCCAAGATGTTTACAGAAAGCTTTATACCTTGCTCAGAAAGGTTGTTCTTGGAGAAACTCAGAGCCGGTGATCTTAAAAGGTCTTTAATTGGAGTCTTTTTTTCAGTTGCCTTTTTCGCGCTTCTAACAGTTGTTGTTAGTTGAGGCCGTTCTTTCCTTTGATCAGGGGACTTTGAATTAGGAATGTTGGGACCTTCCTTCACCTGTGTTTGGGACGAAAGCTTCCCTGTGCCCAATAAAGCTTTACTTTTGTCACCATCGGTTGTTACGCCCTTTACTGGCACCATCTCTGGGCCCCTCTGAGTTACACCTTGACTATCCTTACAAGCTTTGGACGAATTAGTAGCTTTGACACTAACACAAGGCTCCTCAGGAGCATTACAAGTTACCTCCTCTGGGATCCATGGTGCAGCTCCCTCGAGAGAAGCTTCCTTCTTTTCATCCCCCGATGGCACATTTGGTGCCATCGTATCAACACTGTCTTCTTTCACGGCGGTAGGTCTTTGATCTGGTGCCTTTAAAGACGTCTTATCTGTATTTTTGAGGATCTCTGCTAACTCACTCTCAGCTTTACCTTGATTTTTCTCCTTTACAGGAGGCGAATCAACAATGCCCAAATTTCTTCTAAGGGTATTATCAATATCAGGCTTGTTCTTGTTTTCAGAGGAAGTTTGCGTAGAAGAAGAGTTTAAGTTATCTTGCTTGCTGGAAGAACTGAATGCTGATGAAGATGAAATTGCACTTGAAACAGCTTCTGTAGATGAAGCAGGAACTGGAGACGTTTTTGCCTTCTTGCTATCTTTTTTCTCAACATCATCATCTTTGTTTTGGATGCTGGTATTTAATTCCGTGGGTTTCCTTTGCCTCTTGCTTCTCTTTTCTTCAGACGAAGCTTTGGATTTCCTTGCCTACAAACAAATGACAAAAAATATAAAATTCAAGACTGTTCTGGAAATAAAGAGACTCTCAACTCTTGGAAAGTAAAGTCTAAAATTCATTAATAATTCATCGAGTTTAAACAAAGGAAATCATGACCGTGACGGTGTTTGGATATCTGGTCTTAATTAGCATAGATTTTTTACGATTTTATTTCCCCGTTTTCTCCTTAGTTTAGTTTCCATAGAGAAGATGTATCAAACACTCAAGACCTTGTTTGACCACATTTCCAAACACCTCAAAGTTGGTCAAAAATACTCCACTACGCGTTGTATTTTCAACTCTCTTCTTGATGTTTGGAAATGTGGTCAAAAGCTGTCTTCCATGTTTGATATGTTATTTCAAGGTTTAGCCAGTTATGAGGATCACCTACCATACAAATAAATGAATAAATGGGCGAACGATGGTAAAGCCCAAAGGGAAGTTCAGTTAACATGGAAAACTAGAGTTCGAATTAGCATTTCAAACCTTAGCTGATGGGCCTTGTCTGCTTTCCTCAATAGACTTCTTGTGATGTTGTAATAGTTGTTCAATGAGCGTCTGTCCTTCAGGAGTCGGTGATGTCAATTCGATCTCATCAACGCTTTGGCTTGGTTGATGTCTTGGGCTTTCTGAAGTGGATGACCCAACACATGGGTCACTTTCGGGTTTGTCGTCGCTGGCCACGTTAGATGAAGAAACTGTGGCAGGCGGACTGGGTAAGTGATGGACGATGAAGGATGAATTTGGCGAGGGAGAGAAGGAAGGCGAGGGTGAGGAGTTCTGTTGAGGTGAAGAGCTGCTACAAGCAGCTTCCTGTTTAGGTTCCTCTTTGGGTTTGAGGTCTTGCATAAAGGATGGCGATTTTGGCAACTGGAGGAATTTCTGTAACTGCTCCTGTAAGATATGTTGAAATCAGAAATCTCTTGTCAGATCCAAAGTAATGAAATGAAGACTCTTTGTACTGCGCAATACTTCAACCTTTATCCCAAAGTTTTGCTCATCTGACCGATCTGCCCATTACAAATACCCAAAGGTACCGTACATTCTGAGAGAACAAGTCTTTTACAGAGGATAATAGATTTCTGAATTACAAGTGACGTTTGTACTGAGCCAATAAACCAATTGTGTGTTACAGTTACTGCCCGCTGGTCGACCCACTCTAAAACAAACAAACCTTTTAACACTACCTGAAGCCTGGAAGCCAATCCAAGAGAAGAAACATGCCTACAATGCCGTATTTGGGATCTAGTATCACTGCTGATCATGATGCCTTGTCAATGCTGACACCCTCACTCTTACTAATTAGACAAATCTTAAGTGTCAGTGGCACCAAAGGCATCCATCACGTCATATCATCCATCATATCAAGTGTCCCCAATTAGTAGAGGGGTGAATGAATGAATGATTGATTGATTGATTGATTGATTGACTGACTGACTGACTGACTGAGTGACTGATTGACTGTGACTGACTGACTGACTGACTGACTGACTAACTGACTGACTGACTGACTGACTGACTAACTGACTGACTGACTGACTGACTGACTGACTGACCGAGCGACTGACTGACTGACTGACTCATCACTAAGCAAAATATAATGACCTGATTTTGTCGGAGATACTGCTGTAGTTTCTGTTCTTGTTGTTCATCCTCTGACTGCTCCCTCTGTGCTTGTGCTGGTCTCCTCTGTGCTTCCTGCTGTTGTAACAGTGCAGTGTAAAGCTGCTCTATCTGCTTGGCTGTCATGCTCTGCTGCTGAAGACAAGTGAAGAATGTCTGCAGCTGCTCTGGCTCTAGTTTGGGCATCAGATTCTGCAGCTCCACCTTCTGACGTTCCTGATCTTCTCGCAGCTGCTGCTGGATCCTCTCTGGAAGTGTGCGGATGTCACCTTCATTGATGGGGTGAAACATTGATAATTGCTCCTCTTGGGTGACGGCTGCTAACTGCTGAAAAATGTGCGCACACTGGTACTGATAAAGGAGTTGATTGTAATGTTCTGCTAAGATGTGCTGTTGTTCTGCTGTTAGAGGCATCTGTTGGATGAGCTGTTGCTGTTGTACCATGAGCTGTAGTTGATAACAGTGCATTTGATACTGGTGTAGGAGACTTTGGTAGTGCTGATGCCGCAACTTGGACAAATACTCTTGGTTTTCTGGTTGTTGCATCTGCTGCTGTTGTTGCTGTTGCTGAAGTTGCAGCGCATACAACTGATTGGGTGAAAGGTTGAGATGCCCCATTGCATGCGAGTATAATGGGTGTGGACTTTGAGCTCTGGAATGCCCCCCACGACCTGGTGAGCGCATTCCCATGTGGGGAATTCCACTCATTGGACTTGCCATACTCGCTACAGATGATAAATCAGGAGATGAACAAAATGGATTGGCCCTGAAAGGACTACCCATTGTGCTCATGCCAGCATTGGAGANAAAGGCAATTTACGGCTAGTATATTTACTGCTAATATCCGCGAATAATTTCTGTTGAAGCTTCCGTTGTCGGAAACAGGATAATACCATAGATATCAATTAGTGATTGTGAAATGTTTGTCTGGAAATCTTTGTTGTTCTTATGTCTAGAAGATTCGTATCTAACCAATCAGCGTACTTTAACTAAGGTGTGCCTCGACAATAAGAAACAATTGTTTGTGATTTAATTAGCTTTTGAGTCGAAGAAATCCTTCAGTCAGTCGAGTCAAAGAGTTGTGAAATCTAGTGAGAATCGAAGAGGAGAAGAATAAAATCTTGTGAAGACGAGACAGTGTGGGCTATCCTTTCTAATTCCCCACAACAGCACTATTTTGCAAGTTCTAGTTGTTTTAAGCCTGTTTCTCTTTGGGGGATGTAATGTCATTATGTGGGAACACTATTGCAGATGTACAGTTGTACTTCTGCATTTGTTGTATGCATATGACACGTTTTTATTGACGCCGAAGTACATAATTCACATAGACTATCTATGGTGACAGAAAAAATGGACAACTGAATTTCAGGATTCATAAACACTGACCTTCAAACAAACCAGCACAGTTATAGAAATGTACTAAAAAGGCTGGGCTTTGGCTGGGCTTTGTTTTTAAATAAACTAGATAAGTAATCGTAGTTAGGTGTCCCCAATTAGTATACATTGTATGCTAGCAACTTCGACACGGTAATAAAGTTCTTATCTTATCTTATCTTAACTAGACATGCTTGTGAGTCATCACCCAAGTTCAGCAAGCTTGACAATTCTACTGACCCACACTACACAAATGGGTACTGGCAAATTTAATGCTAGGGGTAACCTTGCGATGGACTAGCATCCCATCCAGGGGGGAGTAGAAATACTCCTAGTTTCTTCATGCTACAGAAACTGGAATAACCTCCAGCTTGATTGGCCACTTGGCTCGTATGCAAACTTTGAATAAGCAAGCACTGTTTTAGGAATGCATTGATCAGGCTAGGTTTTGGCTTGGCTTTGTTTTTTAATGAACCAGACAGGCTTGTGAATCATCATCCAAGCTCAGCAAGCTTGGATAGGTCATACCTATAAAGTACAGTGTACCCAGCTATGCAGGTTAACATGAGAATTATGCCAACCCACACTGGTTACACAAATTTGATACCTTGTTTCAGTGGACTTTCTCCTCTCTTTGGTGGAGCTTGGAGTTTGTGAGTTCACAGGTGAAGATGCTGTGCTTAGCCTAGTGCTTGTGGTTGACACAGGTCCTTGGTATCCTGGTTGTGTGCAGTTTGGCAGACTGTTTGAGTTTGTGGCCTGGGTTAGTCCAGCATACAACTGCCACGTCTAACACAAATGAATATGCAATAAAATTGGAGTATGCCACTAAATAAATATAATATTCAATATTTTATTATCACAGTCAAACCTCTACTAATGGCCACCTCTCCACAACAACAATGGACACTAAAATGCATCCCAACTGCCAAAATAACCTCTTGACAATGGCCAGTTAACCATTTGACTGACAAATGATGTCAATTTTTTTATTGTAAAAGGTATCTGTTTCTGTCTGGTTTTTGTTTTATTGATACATTTTGTTTGTGGTACATACTTATATGCTACTATAAGCATTTTTTAAAGACAAAAATGTTGCACCCATGAAAAATGACAGATGTCATATTACACCTCTACCTCCCCATAGCGGCCATCTCTCTACAATGGCCCCTTTCTTCTGTCCACAAGGTGGCGGTTGTAAAGAGGTTTGAATGCATGTAAGCGGAATGATCAAAGAAAATGCTCCTATGTGTGCCTTTTTGTGTTCTTTCTACACGAATACAAAATCAGGATTGTCTTACGGATGGAGCCACTGAAGAAAGAGAATTAGTTTGTGTTTGTGTTGCCAGTGGTGCAGTGATGATAACTTGTGAGTGGCGATGCTGTCTCATTGGCAACACTCGAACAAGCTCTCCTCGCAAAAGACTATCCAGCTCTGCCTCTGTAAAAGAGAAAACACCTGTTGTAGACTGCTTATTATCTCATTAGTGGTCAATACTAAGTTGTATAGACTTCTATATTGGTAAACAAATTCAATACAGTTGAACCCCTCCTTCTGTACACCTCCACAACACAGACACCTTTATATTACTGACAGTACATTTGGTCCCAGAGAAGTACACTCTAGTTACCTCTATAATACAGATACCTCCATAATAATGGCCACTTAATTAAACTTCTTCCCCCTTTGCATCTGTGTTAAAGAGGTTTGACTGTACTTTTCCCACATTTTTGCCAGATTTGAGTAAAATAATACTCCCAGAAAAGGAGATATAACTGGTTGCTATCACATGCATGTAAATCTTGTTGCTGCTTAAACAAAATTTGAAACTTTTTTCCCAGACATAACTACAAGTATCACATTATTTCCATTTCTGAAAAACTAGTCAGATGATGTTCATGGTGGTCTTTTAGACTTTCAATGCTTTCAATATTACTCTTCCACAAACCTTTAACTAGGCTACAGTTCTGTTTGACACATGATTGCAGTAAAATGTAAGTTCTGCATAAATTACTATCACAATTAAAATTAATATAGAATGTGTCAAATGGATGCAAAGAAAAAGGGCACACTTCATACTCTGACACAACCTCATTATCTCTCATCTGGCATTATTTCAAGACTTTCCATTTATATTAACTGAATGTTTCAATGACTTTGTGTGCAATTGTTAAAGCTTGATTTTCATTAACAGCATACCTACGCATGTACAGTAAATGTCAAAGAAATGTAACTAATTGTTTAAATCATAAATGGCCTACCATTTGCAAGAAGAATGACTTGGATAAGCTTTGGATTAACTCTATGAGTCTGTAATACTGTATCATCCATGACACTTAGCTCCTAAAATAAATGGAAGCAGGTCAATAGGTAGACATCATGGACCCTGACTGTGAAGAGAATGAAACAAATCCCATCCTGGACAGAAAAGAAAACTCCAAGTGATCATTGCAGTTATAAAACAACTTTACTCTTACTAAGAATTGAGCTTTATTGGTATTGTCAAACTGCTGTCTGACAAATGCCAAGTTGAAATACTGAACAGTTACATGTATACATATTATTAACATACTACAGTGTAGATAGGTCTTACCCTTGACATAATGTCATGTGCAGTTATCACAGCTGAGAACCACTGTCTACAAGTTTGTCTGTCCAAAAAAAAAAAAGTAAAACAAATTTTTATTTGGCAATAACATCCTAAATACCTATGACAATCATTTAATTTACATATTAATGACATAAAGAAAAGTCTCACCTATAAACTTGCACCCTAAATCCAGTTAGAGTGAAAGGACCTAAAACAACAGGACATTTGTTACATTTGCTGTTATTTGTTACAACACAAAAAAACCTTGCTAATCATTCAGTTAAACTTAAGTCAAACAAAAGCACATGTAAAGCCCATGAAAGAATAGTATTTATAAATTAATTAACATTTGCTGCTCCTTGTTTCTGACACATCAAAATACTAAATCCCATTAATCTCATCAATTTCAACCAGAGAAACAGGACATGTATGCTGCTTATGGCAAATCCTTGGAAAGAACCATTTGAGAGTACAAGCATCCAATTCTTTTTGTTCGATTTCAACAATTTACATGTATACCAACAAAACTCCTTAGAAAACATATTGTTGCCTTGTGAGACCTTTGCCAAAATCACAGACCCAGTCAATTCTCTGAAACAGGATTCACTGGAAAGGAAACTTGTTCCACTCAGCCAAATTGATTCTTATAATTAAATTGCAAGATGTATGCTATTTACCATCCATAAGTATGGACTGGGATTTCTGTAGCCGCTGCCATGTTCGTAGCTCATTCATAACAATTGCGTTACTTCTTAGAGCTGGTTGGAGAGCATCATCATCCTGAAAACGGATCAAATTACAAAAACATATTATGAACTTAGGACACGTTACATTCTAAATGTTTGTATATTGAAAATTTTGAAGATAATACATTGTACCATCACTTCCTTTCATTTCAATAGTCAGACAATAGGGTTTCACATTAAATCAAACTTCTATATATTAGATTGGCTCAAGATTTCACCATGAGATGTGAGAGCTTAAGAATCAAGCAGCCCAATCATGGCTTTTCTTTGTGGACCATGGCCCAGGGCAGGAAAAAAATTCTGAAATTCACTTGCCCAGTGGGCCAGGACATTTCAGTTTCCAGTTGCCCCCACTAAAATATTACTTGCCCAATAGGTGTGCAATGTTTATGCCTTGTCAACTAACAAGACTACAAAGGCTAATTTCACTGGTCCACTGGACCACCAAACTTACATTTTCACTTGCCCAAGAGCAAAATTTACTTGTCCTGGGCAATCAGACCTGGGTTTTTTCTTGCCCTGTGGTCATACATGTATAATGGTATATGAACATGCAAGTTACAATGCACATGTATAATGTAGCATTTCTGATCAGTAATACCTGGCCATAGGGTCGATACTCATCATTCCTCACAAATGCTCTAGAGATAACAATTAAGACAAAAAAACCATTAGGGTTTGAAAATAGAATAAATATTTATTATTTAATTAATGTAAACAAACACTTTAAAATATCATTATCAATACATAAATGACAATACAGTAATAGCCCACGTATAAGAACCTGTATTTTTCAATTTAGCCTAAATAGGTTCTTATATAAATGGTACTTAAAGCAAATTTAGGCTACCAAGGTTCTTAAAATAGGTTCTGATATTTTCATATGAATTTCATCTGAATATACTATATATAATACAAATATCATCTCATAATACAGTACATTGTATAAATCATTTATTTGTACCATAGAGCAATGCCTATAGG